TTCAAACGGCTGTCTTCCAACGGGGCACTTCCCTCAGTGAACATGAACCCTTTGTAGGGGCCTGTGAAGAGAGAACTTGGAGGGAGGGTTGATTGCAATATTGCTGATGAGCGTTAGGGTTACACTGGTCCTCCTCCACCTCCTCCACCACCTCCTCCTCCTTCCGCTCTCCGCTCCTCTGACGGTGGCCCCGACGGAGCCGCCGCAAGCTACCGTGCCTCCACACGCGCCCCAGGAGAGAAGACCAGGGCCAACACCCCGATCCGAAAACCTCCGCGAATCCGAATCCTCCCCGCAGGTGTCCCGTCTCTCGGCCATGACCTCATAGAGCCCTTGAGCCCAGCCGACACTGGCGGCGGGATGGGCTGCTTGGAGGTGGGGCCCCTGCCCCGCTGCAGGCCCTTCAGAGCTCTGGCTCGGCCTTCCATCGGGTGCCCCACGCAGCGCCCAGAAAGCGCAGGGATTGTATCCTCGCGTACGCGCCACATAAGCTGCACCAAACAAGACCTTCGGGGCCACCCGACCACAGGAGCCTGTGAGACCAGTGCGCCTGGGCGAGCTTAGCAGGGACCCCAGGACGAGCTCGAGCGGGCCGAACACGCGACGAAGCCGAGGCTCAAGGGCATCGGGAAAGCAGGCGGCAGCGAGATGCCCAAGAATCCTTCCAGTGTGAACGGACACAAAATAGCTAGCCAACCAGAGCAGCTTGCGCTGCTGCTCCGCATCCTGAGAGACAGGGTGAATCCTCGCGCCCCTCTTCGCAAAGGTATCGGCCAACCGATTCGCACGCAACTGGTGCCACGGGACACCCTGAGCCTGAGCCTCCTTCCAGGAGGCGTGAGATGATCTGCACCTGATCCAGGCCAATTTCATTCAACTTAAACAGATCGTGTATCAAATCTCTGAATAAATCTTAGATGGGCGGCAGCACGCGTCGGCTCCTGTCGCAACTCCATCCACAAGCATATTGCAGCCAGTGGTGACAGTGAGCCCACGTACCGAACTACAGAGACACATGTGAAAGGCCAGAGCACGGCCGCCCCGATCCTGCGGAGGACTAGGGTGGGGGCATAGATGGTTCCCTCAGGAGTTTCTGTGAGGGCCCATCTTGACACGAGACCACCCCGCTCGTGAGGTGCGCGAGATCGCGGGGTTCAGGCAAGACCTGTCGATCCAAACTAAGACCGAGAGCGCTCCCCGACAATCGGCCCGTCAGCGCAAATCACTCCATGGAGCCTGGCAGGGGGCTTCTCGCACAAGAGAGAGTCGACAGGGCAGCGGCGGAGGAGGGGGTATGGGTGCTGGCATTCTTTCCCAGCTCGAGCGACATCATCGAGGTCGAGGCCCCGACGCACATGCTCACTAAAATCGCACGGGAAACAACCGCGGAGCCTGCTCAGCTCTGCAAGCCCGGCACAAGGGAGAGTCCACAGACCTGGCGACGAAGAGAGAAGAGACGCTCCTGCGCCCACGGCCCTCCCGAAACGTGCGCGAGAAGCTGCGCCTCCGGCTTGAATCCGTCTCGTCGGAGCTGCCACTGAGCCTTGCGGATGGCCTCCTAAATTGATAGGTCGATGTTCCACCACCACTGCCAGATGTAGAAGAAGGAGAAGGAGGAGGAGGAGGAGGAGGAGGAGGAGGAGGAGGACATCCTCGTCCCCCCTTCTCCCCCGTCCTACATGTGGTAGTGGTGGTGGGAAATTTGCCCACCAGCTGAGCCGTGCGGATGGCCTCCTGAATTCTCGAGCCAGGGAGACCCGAGCAAATTCTGCACAAGAGCGCGCTCCGTGCCCACGCCAACGATCTTGCGCCAAAGTGCCCGGGCGGCCGGCCCCACGGTCCACCTCCGCGCGCCCGCAGGAGAACCCCCTCTCGAGCGCGACTGGGCCGTCCAACTCGGGCGCGCCAAAGTGGCCGGAGCGGCCGAGCACGGTCCACGGACCGCACCTCTATCAGAAGCCCCTTGGGCTCGAGGGAACGGAGATCCCAGGGCGCCAGGCAGTGGTCGACGCTCGACGACCGCGCGCCCCCAGAGCACCAACGACAAGGCATTCGCTGCGTAGATTAGGTCGCCTCCTCCTCCTCCTCCTCCTTCCTCCTCCTCCTCCTCCTCCCCTCCTCCCCTCCTCCTCCTCCTCCTCCTCTTCCTCCTCCTCCTTCCTCTTCGTCCTCCTCCTCCTCCTCCTCCTCCTCCTCCTCCTCCTCCTCCTCCTCTTCCTCCTCCTCCTTCTCTTCGTCCTCCTCCTCCTCCTTCTCCTCCTCCATCTCCTCCTCCTCCTCCCCCTCCTCCTCCTCCTCCTCCTCCTCCTCCTCCCCTCCTCCACCCTCCTCCCTCCTCCTCTCCTCCTCCTCCCCTCCTGCTGCTCCTCCTCCTCCACCTCCACTTCCTCCTCCTCCACCTGCCTCCTCCTCCTCATCCTCCTCATCCATCTCCTCCTCCTCCGCCTCCGCATCTTCATCCTCCTCCACCTGCTCCTCCACCTCCTCCTCCTCCTCCTCCACCTCCCCCTCCTCCTCCTTGGGGTCCTCGCTGAGCAGAAACTGGAGAGTCCGAGACGTCCCCGCCGACAGGGCCGAGGCAGGCAGGCCCCGCTGCCGCCCTCGGTGACTGAAGAGCGCTGGCTCTCTCATTCCCGTGGCACGGGGACCATTGAAGAGGCTCGGGGGACACGCAGATGAATAGACACAACTCCCAAGAGCCCCCCAAAATGTTGCCATATGTTCCTTGGTTTTCGTCTTCCCCCCCACACACACACACTTCCCGTATTTTCCCATATTTGCCCGAAAATCGACGATTAATTGTTGTGTGTTTCCTCTCCTGAACCCTAGAGGGCCGAGGGATTGCCCCCTGCTTAAAATATTTCGACAGACCCTTACGCGAGGAGCGCAGTAGACGATACCTGCGGATGCGCTGCCTGACAGAACGGACCCTGGACCAGTGGACCTGACGCGCGGCGCGCGAACAGGGGAAATCTACTCCAAGGTTCTTCACGGCATCGGACAAGATGAAGTTCCATCGCTGCGATTTCTTTGAGGACATTGCCGAGGTCTCTGGAGAAGGCCGCGAGCCTGTTCTTAGTGGGAGAAACCCGCAAACCCAACTCTTCCAGCCAACCACAGAGCGCCTCCAAAGCACGTCCGAGACCTTGGGACACAACCCTCTTGGGCCCCGTCGACCACCCAGTACACGCCAAGCCCCACTCCCAATGGAAGGGCCCTGTTGATCGCGGGGGTGAAGAAGACTCGGAGGAGCGTCGTCGCGAGGGCGCGCCCCGCTGTTGTGCCCTGCCTCACGCGGATCGGAGGTCACACGCACACGCACACTCACACACTGACACACACACACACACACACACACACACACACACACACACACACACACACACACACACACACGCACACACTTGCCGACTTGCAGCACGCGCTGTCCTGAGTACATGGCCAAGAGCAATGCCAGGCGACGCGGGTTGTGCATGTGCTCTAACGCCACCAGCGTAGTCTCCGTCACCGTCGCCGCCTGGAAATGCCTCCAGATCGTCCCACGAAAACCGACAGCATGGATCCATGTGCCCAGACCCCCGACGTCGTGATTTTGTTTCACAACGTCGACCCTCTGAGGTCTGGACCCCTTCCCCAGGACCGGCTTTCCTGAGTCGCTTTGTTGCCTGGTCCCGAGGCCTGGAAAGGAGGCCGAAAATAGCGACAAACTTCCCGTCGTGTCCACAACGCGAGGAGGTCTGGGGCAACAGGGAGGAGAAGGAGGAGGAGGAGGAGGAGGAGGAGGAGGAGATGGAGCAGCAGGAGGAGGAGGGGGAGGGGGGAGGAGGGGGAGGGGGGAGGAGGGGGAGGGGGAGGAGGAGGAGGAGGAGGAGGAGGAGGAGGAGGAGGAGGAGGAGGAGGAGGAGGAGGAGGAGGAGGCCTGGATGGCCGTCAAAGCGCACACGCCCGACCCCGCACCGCACGCCCCGCACCACTCCCCACGGAGCGGGCAGCCCCCCGCCGCAGGCCGGCCCTCGCCCGCCGGCAGCCGCCCACCCGCCGGCGGGGCGCAAGGGCGCACCCGGGCGCCACGAGGGCCGAGCGCTGAGCGCCCGCGAAGCCGCCGTCGGGGCTCGCGGCCGGCACGTCCCCAGACCCCCCTCGCGCGGTGAAAACAGCACGACGGGGGGCTTTTGGCAGGCTGAGCCTCCCGGGGCCCTCAGCGGGCCCCGGGACCCTTCAAGAACGACCCGGGACGAACCCTTCAACCCCTCAAGAATCCTTGCAGGGTCCAGGGACCCCGGACCCTTCAACCCTGCAGCGGGCCCCGGGGTCCCGGGGAAGCGGTCCAGGCCTCTGGGGGTCGACGTGGCGCAAAGATCACGACGTCGTGGTCTGGGTCCGCGCCGCCCCCCGGTCTTCGCGGAAGACAAACGGATCCGGGAACGTAGCCTCGCGGGCCGGGCCCCTGGTAGGGGGCCACACGCGAACCCTACCCCTACCCCCCAAGATTTCTGAGGGGGAGGGTGGGGTTCAATTCGCTCGGGAGCTCCCGAACGAAGTGAAACCCACCCTCCCCCTCAGAAATCATGGGGGGTAGTGGTAGGGTTCGCGTGTGGCCCCCTGGGTCACGACCCCAGGGAGATGCGGGGTGCCCCGTGCCACCGGGCATCCGCGGGCTCGCGCCCCGGAATGCGGACAACGAGGGCGCGGATGACGCGGATGCGAATGCCTTCGCCGCTCGTGAACGCCCCGCCGTTCCCGTCGGCCAGGGCCCGTCGTCGTCGTCGTCGTCGTCGTCGTCGTCGTCGTCGTCGCCGCCGTCGTCGTCGTCGTCATCGTCATCGGCAGCAACGCCGCCACAGGTGACGGCTGGCGGCAGCACCGCCGCCACCCTCGCACGCAGCACCAGCCCGCTCCAGGCCGACAGCCGGCCAGGCCACGGGTAGTAGCGGAGGGGTGCGCACATAGGGGCCGCCCTGGCGGGCAGGGAGCGGCACAGGGCGGCCGCGGGGGGAAGCCTGCCCAGCGAACGCCAGCTGCCAGCTGAAGCCCCCGTCGACCAGCGCCTGAAGGACGCAGTCGCGCGCAAGCGGAGAACGAGAAAGATGAGGGAGGGGGCTGGGGAAGGAGGAGGAGGAGGAGGAGGAGGAGGAGGAGGAGGAGGAGGAGGAAGGAGGTTGAGGAGGAGGGAGGAAGAGGAGGGTTGACAATCTCTTCCTGCAGGCTCTGGCTTGATCAACGCCCGCTCCCCCAGGGGCAATGGCCCCTGGGGGCGGGGGGTAGGTGGCTGCGTCCAGGATGAACTCGGAAGCCACCAGCGTGAGAGTGAGGAGGACCAGCACGGACCCTCAGCTGGGTTCCAGAACGGGTCCCCGTTGGCCCCCCCCCCCCAGGGCAGGTCCGCACGGACGGGAGGGCCAAATCGTGACCCGGCACTGGGGAGGGCACAGGCCCACGCACCCGACGACGCAACGGCTCAGGGGTCGCGCGCCCTCCCAGCCTGCAGGCGGCTCCGCTCCACTGGTTGGACGTCCTTGCCCTCCCTCCTCACCCCGTAGACCTTCGCAGTGATCTCTGGATCCGGGCTCCTACAAGCCTCGTCAAGAATGAATTGAAACGCCGTTCGAGATCGAATCGCCCGATACAGGAAACCTTCCACCAAAACCCAACCCTGATACCCCAGGACGTCCGTTGATGTTTGGTGTGAGCACGTCTCGTTTTCCTTCGCAAAACCATCGAAGCCCAAGAAACCCAGGGCACCCTGGAGGCAAGCAGGGTGTTTCTTGGCATGGGCCTCCACTGTAGCTCGCGCACTTGTCAACTAACGCGTTCTTCAGTGCTGCGAGGGCACTGCCGAAGATCGGGCGCCCTTGCGTGTGGGGCCAGACGCCACCTGCCAGTATCGAAGTATAGTTAGCGCCGACCGCAGAAGCGCCGAACAACAACAACAACAACAACAACAACAACAACAACAACAATCACTTTACCCGAACGCTCAGTGTTCTCACCAGTGCCAGGGTTTTCATGCGACGCCAGCCAATACCCCCACTTTGTGGGGGGGCAGTGCAAGCTCTACCAAATATCCACACGACTCTTCGCCACCACCCACACCCAGCTTCCCGCCCTATGACGTTCGGACACTTCACTTCGTGGCCTGCGGACGACCGTGGCTACTACACTGGCGTGGAGTACACACCCACAGAAGTTGTTAGGACAGCGCGCGCGGGTAGAAATTTTGAAAAGTCGTGCAGGTGTTTTTCGAGGACCTACGGTGCGATTCGTGTGATTTTATGATGCGCGGTGCTAAAATTCTTAAGAAGCCCAATGGTTTTTGGAGATTTCGGCGTGCGCGCGCGAAGAAAAAACGAATGTGTCCCGCATGGTATTATTTGACAGGGATGATGGCCCTGGCAGGTGCGCAACCGTTGTCGCAGAAGTTCGAAAAAGTTGCTCGCAAAAGCCCGTTTGACAGAAATGTTTAAAAAGTGTTGGGTTTCCTACGAATCCGCAAGAGCGCGCGGGATGAGATTTTGACAATTTGTTGTTGAAAAACCATTGGTTTTTTGATGTTTTTATGTTAAAATCGCTGCGAACACTAAGGTTTTGGAAGGATTTCGTCTTGCGCGCGCGAATGTCCACTTTACCTTATTTTTTGCAAGGGATTCTTGAAATTTGATTATATTAGAACAAGAAATGTCATTTTATAGTGTTTTTTGCAAGGGAAAGCGGGGGGGAACAAAACAACCGGATCTTGATCACATCGAATTACCTGAGGCTTCCTCACGAAAATGATGAAAATGTAGCTGCGGCCTAGGCGGCGCAGGGGGGCCGTGCACCAGGGGTCCCAACAATAATTATTCTTTAGAATTAATAATGTTCAACGACGACGACGACGACGACGACGACGACAACAACAACAACAACAACAACACCAACAACAACAACAACAAGAATAACAACAACAGCAATAACAACAACCACAATAACAACAACACGAACAACCATATCAACAGCAACAACAACAACACCAGCAGCAGCAACAACAACGACGACTACGATGACGACGACGACGACGACGACGACGACAACAACAACAACAATCACAACAACAACGGCAACAGCAACAGCAACAACAATAACAACAACAACAACAACAACAACAACAACCAACATCGTCAAGTTATGTTTGGCGAGTCTTGCAGCGGGTGGCACTCCGAAAGGGAAGTGAACTTACTGGGGCAGAGATCCACTGCATCTTGGCGGAATGTGCTTAGTCCAGCCCCCTCACGCTGTGAAAAAGCACACGACGGAAGGCTTCTCGCTACTTTCGGCCTCCAGGGGCCCTCGCCAGGCCTCAGGACCGACAAAAAACGACTCAGGACGAAAATCCGGTCCCTGGGAACGGGTCTGGACCTCCGGGGGTCGACGATGTGAAAAAAACACGACGCTGGGGGTCTGGGAGAGCAGGCGGGTGGGTCCTCGGGGAACGGGGCGTGCACGGCGCAGTGTGGCCGCCCCTGGTGTGGCAGCAGGAGGCAGCGCGAGGTGAGAGGGGGAGCGTTGATGCCACCGCCACGGGGTCGGGGTGCTCGCCACTCCATGCCGAAGTTAGGGATGAGAGGGGTGCGCGCGCGTCCCATGGCGTCCCCTTGCGCAAGGGAATGGCGTCCCCTTGCGCAAGAGGGAATGACGCCCAACCTCTGGAAAGTGAGGTGCGCCTCGCTGGCACCGAGGGCGCCGCCCAGGCAAGCGAAGCGGTGTGAGAGGAAGGGAGGGATGGAGGGGAGGAGGAGGGGGAGGAGGAGCAGGAGGAGGTGGATGGGGAGGGGCATGAGGTTCAGACAGATAGCGTCGCGCGAGGGAAGGAGGAGGAGGGGACAAGAGGAGGAGGAGAAGGAGAAGGAGAAAAAGAAGGAGGAGAAACAGGAGGAAGAGGAGGAGGAGGACGAGGAGGGCAAGGGGGAATAGGGTGGACAATAAAGGAGAGGAGGGGGTGGCGGAGCAGGACCCGAATGCCGTTCCCTCTCGACAGCTTGTCACTATCCCATGCGCAGCATCACTTTGAAGAATTCCCCTTGCCGCTACAAGAAAGAACTGCTCGCAAGAACGGATGTTGCCCGAATCGCCCCGCTCTCCATAGGGATGCCTCTTCAGCCGACCTCATTCTCCTTTCGCAGCAATTCTTGCGGTGGCCATGCAAGGTCACAGCACGTCGCACGCACACTGGCCATCAGACCCTCACGATCCACATGAAACTGCACCACTGAAACATGCTGCGGCGCTCGCTCCTGTGCGACCAGGAAGCCAAGGTTCTCGCCTTAGTTGATGGAGTATCGATGGACCGCGAGCAGTACCCGGTGCACACAGGGTCGGCGGAGACAGTGGGCAACTGCTGGCGCCATCATGGTGGGGAGACTCCCCCTGGATGATGGAAACGGGTCTTGGGCCCTGGAGCTTTTCGAAAGACGGCTCTTCATCCTGAGCCGTCTCTTGACGGTCCCCGGGCCCGAGAGGGCCCCCCGGAAAAAACTCCAGGCCGCAGTGTCATAATACTGCCTCCTGCCGCCCGATGTGGACCCAGCTGGGGGGACGCGATTTCCTCGTGCACGCTGCGTCGGAGCGGTGCTCCAGCTGTCAAAAGGCAACCCCGCGTTCGCAACACCAAATGTGATCAACTACGTGCCGCTCCTTTTCCCTTTCGCCGCAATCTTCGGTTACCGCGCGCCCGAGCTCGTGTGGATTCTCCTCCTCCTCCTCTACTACTACTACTACTACTACTACTACTACTACTACTACTACTACTACTACTACTACTACTACTACTATTACTAATACTACAACTACTACTACTACTACTACTACTACTACTACTACTACTACTACTACTACTACCACCACCACCACCACCACCACCACCACC